ACGGTTTGATGGTGGTATGACCTCCCAGTGTCATTTGCGTCAAGATGTCCATATCTGGTAAGACTGTGTAATGCAAAAATCAAACAGTCCACCACGCGTGTGGGATCCCTCATTTATTGCAGACTAGGAAGTCTACTAGTAAAAGATATATATTCCTTCCTTTTGCGCATAATTTAATTTTATTTTAAATGTTTCCCCGAAATTTTCTAGTCATCAAGATATTAGAAACAGATAAAGACTCTTTTGAAAATTACCCTTCTTTTATCCGAAGAATCACTTGAAATGTTTAGCGTTTAATTATGGACATTGTCAATCAGCTCGTTGCTTTAGTCAAATCATCTAAATTGACAACAGACTTGCTCTGCTGTAAGCACAAATTTAAGAGATCATAGGGTTTGAGCTTATTCTATTTGAACATATTGAAAAAACCGTCTTAAACCAGGTACAGGACATAAAAATATTCCGGTTACAAAGCGACTGATAGAATGGATTAAAGGTTACTCCATTTATTCGTCATAAAATCTGGAAAGTTGGCGAACCTTCAAACCAGAGAATGAGATATTCAAAGATTAATTGAACCGAAGGAAATAGTCTACGAAGGAAGCGAGATTCACAGATGAGAATATAAATCGTAGATAGAAAGAGAGTTGGGTCAGTCTTATTTAGCCGTAGTGTTGATTTGATCTCGTTTTCGCAACTTGGCCGAGGCGACAAGAGGGCCTGGTTGAATGTACCTACTCGTGATAATTTCCAGCATCAGACTATTGACTTGTTGCATTCCCAGAAGGTTCGCCGGAATCATCAGCGAGTTGAAGACAAGATTGGTCAAGGAGAACGACCTCACTTGTTATTTTGATGGGTTGTAATTCGGTGCTATGAATGGCGCCTTTCATTGGCGATGCAGGCGAAACATCCGAGAACATGACAATTTAATGTCCGATGCTGGAAATTATCATGGAGGAGGACACAGGACTGGATACGCTCCACAAGGTCTATGTCACTCAGACTAAATTGCTATAACTAGGCCAAACAAACGCTATGGGAATATAAAATTTGCTAATTTCCAATGGTAAATTGCTCTATTTACCTGATTGCTATTTTGACTTCGCAATGCTTTGGCCATCTGGCTTTAGAACTTATTATTCAGCAAAGACATAAAATGCACATTTTTAGTTGATGAAGGCCTCCAAAGAGAATGGGGTGACACTTAACTAAATGGTCTCTCCTGCCCATCAATTACTATCAAGTCTTATTAATGTCCGCTCCCAAAAGAGTTGGAATTAAAGGCCAGCCTGGGCTTAAAACCTCAATTTGTCTTGTGGTTGATAAGAACTCGGATAGTGATGCTAAGCAGTAACATATAGTCATTCAAAAAGCTGAGCCAGGTTTCGAGCGTCAATAGAGGAGGACGAAACTGCAGTCCCGCCTCGATATGAATATGCCCTGAGAGGAAATTGTCCAACTAAGCCTTTTCAGTCCGCAATCTACCTCATTCACGTCCAGTAAGTCACCCTCGTGCTCTGGAAGATCCGTGCCTTATCTCCCCGGTTCAATATTTTCACTCAATCACTTTCACCATATCTGTGTTACTGGGAGCGTTTGGTAGCACATTTACTGTAGCCGCATCGAGCAGATCCCCAAGGCCTGAATTTCCAGGCTGGATTAAGGGCCATGTCAGCAATGCAGTTTGTTTCATCAAAGTTCGGCTTAGATTTTGTGTTAAAGCCTTTGCTTCAGACAGCTTCTATGATCAAACCTGTGTACTGTGGGCCAACTGTCTAGGATCTCAGCTGCATCTCTTGAGTAGAATTCTGCTCGAATTGGCCTCACCTATTCATGGTTTCACCAAACGTTGCATTTGTTTACTTAAGTTGGCTAGACTCACTGCAGATGTCTTCTCTTGAATTCCCAGTGTCCTTCGATGACCCTCTCCCTGCAATTCCTTTTATTCTTTTTAAAACTACATCAATGCTGATCTTGCAAATTCCTGATCTCATCCAAATTTGCTTAGGAAATAGAAACAGATTTTCACCAATTCGATCTTCTTCCAGTCGCCTGTTCATTAGATTATTTTCGGTAAAGATTTTGACGGTTTCTCTTTCCTGCGTTTTCATGTATTTCCATCATTGACAGTTAATATTTTTATTGGAGTAAAGTTTATCCTGTGTCCCACCCATTCAATATATTAGACTATTTCTGAAAAGCCCTCGGTTTTCCTTGATTCGTAGGTTGATCTTTCTTCCTGTTTCACCAATATACTCATCATTCTATGCAATAGACTCACGAGCAATCCAGACTTCATCTTTGGTTGGGTAGATAAGTAAATGACTTTGGTCTAGTCAAAGTTCAAGTGGTATTGATAAGCTATTAATGGATGAATGTGTAACCAACTGAGAATGTTGCGAATTGTTAAAAACCGAATGGGGATGAAAAAATAATAATTGTATGATTATGAGATCAAGCACGCAATAAAAAATTGCTTCAGTGGCGTAACTTTTGAACTTAGACAAGCCTTTAATGATATATCTAAATAAAATAAGAAAAAAGATTGAGTAAATGGTCAGATGTACGTCTAAATATGCATGCTTAGGCCTGAGTTAAGCATCCGCATGTATGAATTCTGTGCTTTAATAGATCCAAAAATAATAATAAATGCACATAAGCAAATCTCATTAAGAAATAGTGGTGTAGATCTTCCGAATTATGCACAGGTGGCTGGCTTCAAGGGCAATTGACGTCGAAAACAGAGGAATAAGGAGGCATAAAAACGATGTACATAAATTGAGTAAAAATGGTTGCAAAATTGTGAAAAATAAATTTGGCCCAAGTCGTATTGGAGACGTAAAGTAGGTATTTGGACTAGAAAGAAATACAACAATCATTAAGGTAGTTAAAGTTTACCGGATTATACGACCCTCAGTATAAGAAAAAGTAATGTAGGATGGGCAGTTAGAGTATATCATAAGAGAAAAAAAAAACCAAGCTTCATTGCACAGAAAAAAGAAGGACGTATATTAAATAGAAGAATTCAAAAATGTCAAACCAGCGAAAGGAATGGGCGTATTTTATAGTTGCGTGAGGACGAAGAGTTATAAGAGGACAACATCATCATCAGATCAGAACATGATATAAATAAACGAATTAAAAGGCGTTTACACCATGAAAATAGTTATACAAATATGCTCACATGCTGATTCGTGATATAGGGTAAACAAGAATGTAGACTAGCGAAGGATTGATAGTCGGCTGTCAAAAAATAAATAAATAAATGGAATCGCAGTTCACAGGTGTGGTACATCACAAAGCGATTTTCACGATATGTGAAAATTACTCAAGGCGGTTGGAGGACAGAAACAACCTTTCTTCGTAAGCACATGATATTATATTTTAAATAAAGGTGCACTTCTCCTTGCTAGAGACCTGCAGATCGTAATTTATTTAAGCGTTATTATGCATGAAAAAATAGCACAAAATATCATCACGAGAAAAAAACAATTGTAGAAATATTCAATTCAGATCATGAAGTGAATGAAGACAAATGTTCCATTAAAATATATCAATCCAAGAAATATATTCGAGGGCTAAAGTAAAGAATGCATGACATAGTAATAAAAGGTATAAGTTCAAACATAAATTTCGGAGGAAAAACGGCGCTGTAAAGGCGAGAAAGCAGATGATGGAGATTCAAATAATGATATTGATAAAAAGTCCACAGCCAGACAAAGCGTCATAAATAGCCCTTCAGATTTCAGTGCATACATATAAATACATATATAAATATATAAAAAATATATATATACATTAAAAAACAGCACAGGCATATTCACTCAACCCAATTGACAAATAAAATGCTACTCAGAGAAATATGTATCAGGAATGGATTTTAATGAAGAATGTAAAGCGATCAGTGCATATTTGTCAGAGATAATCACTTTCAACGAGGCGCTGGTGAAAATAGACTGAAAAATACTAAATTTCCTAGTAAATAAGCTAATTCTTTTATGTGCAACAAGTTTAACGAATAAATAATATTTCTGTAAACAGTAGTCCGCAAAAGAATAACAGGAAACAAACCACAGTCGAGCTAGGTATGTATGCAAGTAAGTGTACACATGAAGGTGAAGTACCTAAATCGAGATAAGAATGCCCCATACCGAGGGGTAGAATGGGGTGAAATAGACTGATTAAATAGTACAAATCAATGACAATACGTACATAGCAAAGAATAAATTAGCTATATACGCATCAATGAAAAGGATTATTGTGCGAAAAAAGGCATTTTCAATAAAAAAATAAATAATATGGAAATATTTATAATCGAGGAAACAAGGGAAGTTTAAAGAAAAGTAGAATTCTAACTCGGCTTAGTAATTAGATGGAAGAAGGTAGTGCCTACGAAATAAAAATAAACTGGAGAATAAATAAAATATCGCCATATCAGTTAGTGTAAAAATAGAAAAAAATTCTCCAAGACAAAGTCAAATTAAGGACATTAAATTTAAAAGAATATAAATGGTAACAGAGTAGTAATAGAGTCGAGGTTATGATCACAGAGAATAGAAGATGGGTATAGAAGTAAATTAAAAAGAAGACAGACGGAAAAGAAAGGGTACAATGAAGACGAGACAATGCGAGACAACGCAGATATCAGGCCGGAAAAATCGGATATTTTAAACATAAAAAGATAATAATCCTCCGATAAGCCGTCATCTCTCGAGTGTAGCCAGATGATTTTTATGTTGGGAAACTGGAATGAGAAAGGCACAGGCCAGGATATCAAAAGAAATTACTTCGCAAACCTGAAAATAGAGTCGAGAAGGAAATTTGGAACTGGCTTTCGGATGTAAGGCCGTAAGAAAATATGTTTAGGGCTGCTCTAACCATACCTAAGAGATAAGTGCATCGTGTGAGCTGGAGTTGGAGGCAGAGGGCGGCTTGGCCGGGTAGGACGGACTACGGTGCAACTTGGGAAGGCGATCGAGTGACCTTACCAAGCTGGTAAACTCGGGTCGTCTAGAGGCCTGATAAGCCCAGCACTGAAGAAGAATCTCCTATAAAGGCATTATATTTTATAGGAAAAAAACCGTTATTCAAAAGGTGTTCGTCACCATCATCTGCAATCGAATCATGATTAAGGATACTTTAATATTGTTTACACGTTTTTATACTGTGTACAGAGTCTTTTGGGTTACAAAACTTTAAAATTTCAAAAAGGGCACATGAATGGTTGTGATTTGGAATTAAGATAAATGTCTATTTAATCGAAGGACCTGGATCAAATAGCTCAAAGGATAGAGGGCTGGTCTGTGAAGTATGGCAATCCACACTCTACCCCGAAATACAATTATTTAAACTGAGTATCTCATTTGAATAACCTAACGATAAAAGCAATTTGTAATGGTGTAAGAGTTTATGCAGATTAAGATAACTAAATGCACAACTTTGAATTCAAATAGAATCGAAAAATAAAACAGGTTGAAGATCTCTTTAGGGAATAAATAAAAAATAAGAGCAGAAAAATATACTTGCTTGTGCAATAAGCTTGCTCCGAAGAGATGCCGTAATTTAAAAATAGTAATATTTAAAGACTAGATAAATTAGATTATTACAAACATATCTAAAAATTTATAATTAATGAAGTACTGAACACTTGGTCCAATCAGAATGGCCTAAATGTTGTAATAAAGTCAGAGGAGTTCAAGCATCCTAAAACAACCTTGCGACTAGTCAGAGGGAATGAAAGATGAGTATAGAAGTAAATTAAAAAGAAGACAGATGGAAACCAAATGGTACAATGAAAACGATACAATGTGAGACAATGCAGATATAAAAGGCCGGAAAAAGTCCGTAGTCATAGAGCACCCTAACCACTAAAATATCTTTAGAGCTTATGTCGTTTCCATAGTCATGATGAGATAAAGAGAATGCTCAGTCACACATTAATAATTAGGTCGATCTATAAAGATTGAATAAAACAAGCCAATAATCATGGTAAATGTAAAAAAGAAGTTGCCTTGTATCAGAAAAACAAGATGTGCAACTTAAGCATATACATTCAAAGTCACAATGCAGCATAATCAAAGGACAATTCGAGAATATTTTGCAAGTAAAGTGCTAGTATGGCTGAAGCCATAACGAATACAAGCGTTAAATCTCACTTTGAAATCTTTTGGTCCAGGGATCCGAAGGCTTTGGCGAATGCCTCTGCCAACAAGGTAAAGTGTACCCTCTGCAGAGAGACCTTTGTAGGGAAACTCACTGGTTAAGAGCTCATACCATACAGTTCTTTCAATCAAATAAAAAATAAATAAAGGTATAATATAGTTAATAGATAGACGGAGACATTTTCAAAGTTAATTAAAATGGAAAGTATAAAATCACAAGGAAAAGGAATAAAATGCCACAAATTTACCATAACAGCCTTAGAAATGACGTACAATTTCAGTACACAAAGATACAAAGTCAGTTATGGGTAAAAAATTCAATAGAACTTAGCAAAAAAAGTAAATAAAAACTGACCCAAAGGCAAAAACATCTGACTGAGTTGTAAATGGTAGCTCAGCAGTGTTGTTTGCTAAGGTGTGGTCTAGATTCAGCAACTTTATAATCTCCGGTGCCAGGTAACAAAGCCAGCCGGGAGGGACGCTAAGATAATTGCCGGATCTGAAGATACGAGAATCACAGACGAAAGTGTAATACACAGAAGAAAAAATAGTGGATCAATAATAAATGCCTGATAATGGACTTGGTCAATTTTTATGATAAAATGCCTATTTCCTAAACCAATAATCCAAACTCATTTCTATCCCGTTGGTCTAAGTACATATAGTTGTAGGCAGACGGAAAGTATGAAATGAATAGATTATAAGTATGGTTAAGGTAAGGGAAAAATGCTAACATCTTTCTCTATAAATGTTTGATACTCTAATGGGACAAAAGAGCACAAGGGTTTGATCAAAGAGATCATTTGGATCTACGTGATTACATTAGCAAACTTTCGAACATCATACTCACATACCTCTTGATTAAAACGACCAGAAATCAAATTTATCAATAAAATTTTTTCATACCCAAGTAAAAAATAAGGGACAAGAAAAAGAAAAGGAATCTATATGATAGTTAATGGTACAATTTACTAATATGCCGGTGAATCTTTAGATGGAAATGAGCAAAGCAATTACTTTATTAAACTTAGTTTACATAATTGATAAATAAAATTTGTCGAAGCCAGAAATGAGTTCATCAAACACAATGGAATTTCTGCACTGAAATGCATGTCAGGAAAATACTTTAAATTACATAGACTAAAAGTGTTAATAAATTGAGTATTAGGAAGAATTTCATTTCGTACGAAAGTGCATGAAGAAGAGATTCGAAGGTCGAGCACACCAGAAGAGAACGACTGATTTCCATTGTACTGCAGCTGATTGACTTTAATAGTACGATCAGGTTTACGCAGTCTACGAGACATCCGTCTTCGTAGATGTAAAAAAAACTGTTTTGAAAAATTCTTAAGTGATATATTGTGACATGACTTTCCATTTCGAGGGAAAAAAAGGTTGGGAGGAATTAGTGATGTGGTTTCATCGGAAACCGAAGGAGTATTGCAATGTGTCGAATTATACGAAGAAGTTCACGGTTCATCGTCCTTCGACTCTGATGAGCATGTGCCAAGCTTATGTATTTACTGTGACGGACATAATCAAAGCAAGAATGCAAATTTTACGAAATAGAGCAAAAATATAACCAAACTAAGAGAAAAGGTGGCCGATTAGTTAGATGTATAAAAAAGCGACTAGTGTTGCAGCTGGCCTATTATTTAGGATTTTTGCAATGTTTCGTAGGATATGGAGTCTTGCTCTGATGTTGTCTGTCAAAGGGGAGACAAAAGATTGGCACAGGTTAATCGGGATAGCAGAACGGTAAGTTGAGCACTCCTTCGCACAATAGAACAGTCTTCCATACGCGGCAATCCTGATTCGGCTTCCGGTGAGGCCACATCACGAATACCTTCCAACCAACTTTTGCTTCAAAATGAAAAGTGGTGTCATAATAAATTCGTCTTCGTTTCTGCTGAAAAAAGGCAGAGATTTGGTCTATCATATGATAGACATTATCAAAGCTGGAGCTTGTTATTAACACTCGATCAAGAAGACAGTCGAGCTCTTTCTTGCCTCTTATATATGTTCAAACTAAAAAACGAAAAGGAATAAATATAGAAAGATATAGAATGGTTTGGATAATTATCTTTCACATTCGTTGTGCAACTTTTGCTCGAATGTGTGTATATGTGTGTGCTAACGTCTATACGCAATTCCGGTCAAAAAACGCTGTCAGGCTCTGGTCAAAAAGGCTTAACTACCTAAGAAAAACCAATGTTATAGACTACGTAAGTCTGTAAGCAACACTAGTTGAGATAATGAAATGTAACACTGCAAGAATGTAAATAAGGTTGCGAAACCATCCGTTCTCTCTCCGTTTACGGTTAGTAAGGATTATACACCCAAGAAAAGGCATGACTAGGACTGCGTAATCTCGTACGCCTGATTTGGTTGACGGGTTTTATTTAATATGTTAACAAGCGTGAATAAAGTTAGAAACATCGCTAAGGAACAAGTTGAATCGCCTTCCTTTATATTGCTGCTCAAAACCCTCACTCTCCTTTAATCTACTAGTCAAGAATTAATAGTTCCAGTATTTAGTCGACCTTGTTTTCGCAACTGAACATTAGATTCATAATTTAAAAGGGAAGGAGTAGATCATTAAACGTTTTCGATATTCTGCTGAGAAGAGATATTTATAAGAAAATAACATGCAAGCTCTTTTCTGAATTTTCAATCAAACCATAATTACAAAACAAAGATTTTCAGACAGACTAGTTAGAAAAAGATAGACAAACTGAGACCTTTTCCCATGTCCTAATTTTGCTGTCATGTTCTCTCCCTAAGAAGAGTGGGAGATAAAAACAGTGTTCGAAGAAATCCTCACACTTTCTTGAGGCATGCCATCTTTCGGAGATAAATATGATCCCTTATCTAGAGCTGGTAGCTACAAGATTGTATGCTCCTATGGACGAATTTATGTTGATGGGACATGCCAGTCTATTCGAGAAAGACTAGGTGAACACAAAAATGCTTATAAAGGAAGCTGGGTCCAACGGTGGTCACAGTCTTCTTTCGTTGCATAGAAGTTGTTTGACCTTGTTTTCGCAACTTGGTCATATTGGTAGAAAGACTTAGAGGAACGCATCTAGTCCGGAGTCCATTGTATGCATGATCATTTCAGGAGTAGGACCGTAGACGTGGTACATTCCCAGACGTTTCGCCGGCATCATCAATGAGTATCGCCATTCTTAGCACCATACCACAACACGCCAAAGGGACAAGTAAGCCTATCCTTTGACCAAATGTGAGCTAGACAGTCGTGATATCTCCCCTTCTGCCCTAGCTATTCACATTTCCTATATCATCCTATCACACCGTCATTGTTACAATTTTTCATTGCATAATTAAATCTAGTGTGATGTGACCTCTTGAGCGGCTTTCATCAGAACCCTCCGCATTTTACCCTGGCGTTCTCACCCTCCTTCACCCTTGTGCTGTGAAGGTTGATCATAGTCTGCCATATTGTTACGTAGTCCTCCTTCCCTAGGTCTTATCACAGTCTCTCTCTTGCCCCGTTGGATCCATCTGCTCTCTTCCTGGTTCACATATTTTACTCGACCCCTGCCACCCCATCTGTGCCACTCGATGCGTTATTCGCCCTCCCCTGCTTCTGGGTGATTAATTCGATGTCAAAGCCTCAGAGTAATTCTCATGATCCCGCCTTTGCCCCATGGACCACATCGCTTATAAAACCTACTGTTACCTCACTAGCTCCCATCGCCGCCTCGTCTATGCTGTCTCTATTCCTAATACCAAGTATATGAATTGCCATGCCCTAGTTGCTTGTGTGCCAACCCACAAATTTTGTAATACTGCTGGCTTTGTTTAGGTTCAATATTGAACCACAACGTTTGTGGGTTGGCACACAAGAGACTAGGGAATAGCAAGTCATAGACTTGGTATTAAAGATAGAAAGAGGATAGAAACAGTGGAAACTAGAGCTAGTTG